TTCTGTCTGTGAGAGAGTGTGGCAGTTGCTGCCTTCCCCACCTCACTGCTGAAGCAGTTTATAGTGGATGGCATGCCCTCACCATTTTGTGGCCATGCCTTTCTGCTCTGGCAGCCATTTTGTGCTACACCGCTCCCCGGCAGCCATTTTGTGTGTTGCCATATTCCCGTGGCAGCCATTTTGTGACCAATGCCCTTAGCGTGTTTTCAACATTACAGAAGTGCCTTGTGGAAAGGTTCCTAATGGTTATGATATTGTTAGTATATCATAGAACTGTAAAGTTGGAAGGGACCGCAAGGATTATCTAGTCCAACCCGCTGCAATACAAGATCCTGTTGCCCAACATAGGACTCGAACCCACAACCCACATGTCTCATGCTTTATTCATTGAGCTATGTGATGTAGTTTAATGGTACTTGTAAGCTTCCTTCAAAGGAACTATATTCTAAAAAGTGGGATATAAATAATTATAATACATTTATTTTTAAAGCTAATAAAATAAACAGTTACCTAGTTCAGATTGCAAGGGGTTGGACTAGATGACCATTGGGCTCCCTTCCAACTGTACAGTTCTATGCCTCTGATTCTATGAAATGAATGAGCTTGTAATGCACTAGACTTAAATCCACGAGGATGTTTCACTGTACAACATGTGCAATGTCCACGTAGAGCGCAATCCTATGTATGTCTCCTCAGAAGTAAGTCCCACTGAGTTCAATAGCAATTACTCTCAGGTAATTGTGTAGGATCAGTGGTCATCATTGCCTGTGAGGGCATCACAACTCATGGAGGTTATATTTCTAAACTAATTTGCATTTCAATCCCAAACGTGACTTAAACGTTCCTGCCTGGGCTCAAAACCGTTCTCTTGAATCCAGTGCAGTCAATCCAAAGGATATATTTTGTCTTAGTGAGCTGTCATTTTCCATGAGGTTATGAAAACGGCTCTATTGCCTGTGAGAAGAACATCAGAAAATAGCTGCCTAGGTTAGCCAGGCAGAAGCTTTAAACTTTCTGTGTGTTCTCCGAGTGTTTCCATAGCAAAATCAATAGAAGCTGCTCTACTGTCAGTTCCATTTCTTTGATAGGCATTTCAGAGGGGTAAGGAAGCAGGTGGAACCCGCCACAAAATTTTGCAGCATGGTGCCCTCTTCCATGACACTCCATTGCGGTCTCCCTCCCACCTGTTTTCCATTCCTGCTTTCCTTAACAGTCCATGGCTACTGAGCGTGCCGAGTTCCTCAGTGGGCTATTTCAGAGTTCTCCCCACTCATAGGGGTTTTTTGCCCCCACCTAAAAAAAATATTTCTTTCTACTTCAGTAGATCATGGACTTCCTCAGAGTTTCCTGACGTCTCTCTCTTGTGGGAAAGAGCTTTGGAAACAGAAGGGATGAAGAAGGGTTCTGGATTATGTGGGAGAAGAAAGGGAGGGATGGAAGACAAGGAGAATCGTTCTCTTCCAGCATAATATAGATGGAAACCGTGCTAAAAAGCTTTAGGGCTTGGTTTTCAAATGAAAATGACTCCCACCCTGCTAAATGTGTCTTAATGGAGACCTAAATGTGTCGCACAACTTGAAGCGCATGCAAACCATTCTGGTCTGAGTAGGATGCCCACTTTCGTTCTGAAATGCTCTCTCAATCTTCTGTCAGGAGTCTGAGGGAAATGGAAAGTTGTACTTGATAATGGGTATCAGCGTGACAATGGCCCTGTTATTTAGCTCCCAGTACTGTCTCTGTTAACAGCCATACTTCTTGGCTACTTCTGTCTCAACTGCAAATTGGCTTTTGCCCTCCCACAAGTGTCCCCACTTTCTACATGGTCATCAAAACAATGATTTTTTCTTTTGGTCAGAATAAATATATATAGTCAGAACTAGTACTTGAATTTTATGGTTTTCCTCTTCCTGTCCTGTTCTTTTTTCCTTTTGCCCATGCATGCCCATTAGATTATAAACCTATGGGCGAGGCCTAGATTAGTATTTTTTTATGCATGCAGTACCTGGAAATTTTACGCACTTTATAAATAACTACTGCTACTTGTATAGTTTATAAAGCAAGCTGTCCATTTCCATAGATGATTCAAATATACTCAGAGTCCTGTAGTGATTTCATGCTCTATATTGCAGCTTGTAAAACAGTGATTGAATTGCCCCCCAAACCTCAGACTTTTATATACATTATTTACACAATGAGCCCCGTCTGATTGGCTGATTTTGCCCTCCTGGGGCCTGATTGGTCTTTTCCTGCAGGCCAATCAGTTGTTGCATTCTATGCTCCTATAGCCTAAGAGGCTGATTAACTTCCTCCTGGAGCCTGATTGGTCTTTTCCTGCAGGCCAATCAGTTGTTGCATTCTAGGATCCTACTTGCCTATTGTTCTAGGATCCAAGCTTAGTACATAACAATGATAAAGGGGTTCCAGTTAACTGATGGAAAGAGAGAAATTCTATATTCCCAGCCTCTCTCCCTCATTCTATCCTAAGCATCCTTATGAAGGCTTAACTCCCAGGGCATAGATCTGGCCTGAAAGCTCATGAGGTTGCTACCTTCCTGAAGCTAAACCGTATCTGCATGGGTGGCTGACAGGGGAAAACCACATGTACAGTGGTACCTCGGGTTAAGAACTTAATTCGTTCCAGAGGTCCGTTCTTAACCTGAAACTGTTCTTAACCTGAGGTACCACTTTAGCTAATGGGGCCTCCCACTGCCGCTGCCCAATTTCTGTTCTCAACCTGAAGAAAAGTTCTTAACCCGAGGTACTATTTCTGGGTTAGCAGAGTCTGTAACCTGAAGCATTTGTAACCTGAAGCGTCTATAACCCGAGGTACCACTGTATACTGCTTAGGGTTCCATGCCACCATCTACACTATGCATTTAAAGCAGTATCATACCACTTTAAATAGTCATGGCTTCCCCCAAAGAACCCTGTGATCTGTAGTTTATTAAGGGTGCTGAGAGTTGATAGGAGACCCCTATTCTCCTCATGGAGCTGCAATTCCTAGAGCTCCCTTTGAAGAGGGATTGACTCTGGGAACTGTAGCTCCATGAAGGGGAAGTTTTATTCAGACTTTTCACAATGCAATTATTATTATTATTATTATTATTATTATTATTATTACCAAAACTAATATGGACAAAGAATTATTTTTGAAAGAGAGGAAGAAAGAAAAGAGCTAAAAGAAGCCCCTCTCACTGATATATATCCTAATTTTTTATCCCGTACAGAAAAGGATACACCCTCCCTCCCATCTCTCACCTGGGAGCATTTTATGGGAAGAGGACTTCAGCATAAGGTTACCAGACGTCCGGTTTCCCGGGGACAGTCCCCGGATTTACAAATCACTCCCCGTACAAAATCAATTGAAGTTGTAAAGTGTCCCCAGATTCATTGAAAAAAATCTGGTAACCTTACTTCAGCACCTTTTAATGAGCTACAGTTTCCAGGATTTGAGGGCGGGGAGCCATGATTGTTTAAAGCAGCATGACACTGCTTTAAACTTATAATGCTATTGGGGTCAATGGCAGAAGAAAAGCAGGATCAGGCATGCCAAATCTAGGGAGCGGAGGCATTTCCTGGCCCTTCAATATTTGTTGGTGTTATGTACTGAAGTTCTCACCCTGGGCCAGCAGGGGGATACTGTAGATAGTTATGCAAATAAGGGATCGAAAGTGACGTTCAGTGATTGGATAGTTTTAGGAAATTGTTACAGTTACGTTGTACTGGAGCTCTATATAAGCAGGCTCACTGAACCCTTAAGTTCAGTTCTGTTCTGGCCTGTGAATAAACAAGAGCTGTTTGAAGAATCGCTGTGTCGTCTGATATGTTCACCCACAACTTAACAGTTTAAAGGGGTCCCAGCCCCATATTGAGGGGGCCTGGCATAATGTTGCATGAGCCAGCACCAGTCTGCACAGTACCTCCTGACACTGCAGAAGAAATGGCCTAGCAGAAGAAATGGAGATCAAAAGATGAATCAGGCCCCGAGGAGGTTGCAGCTCTGTGTCAAATCCTGGAAAAGACTTAAGCAAGACTTTGCCATCTGCATGCAAGCTGCAGGTAGCCAGCCATACTTTTTGCCTATAGCAGTAGACATTTTCCATGGCTACTTTGCTTCCCACTGGTAGTTCTGCTGCTGTGCTGTACTGCGTTAAGCTCTGGTTTGGCTTAGCATGTCATCCGCTTGTGGTTTAGCTCTCCTGAACAAACCACAAGTCGGCAAATTCTGGTTAGGTTAGGCTGGATTTGGAATTCTTGTGCTTTTTTGGGGGGGCGTGTTACTTAAAAAAAAAAGTGATGGGAAAATGCATTGGGAAGTTAACAGTAGCTTGACATGACATCATAGAACCTCCCTGCGAACACATCAGAACAAATGCTTTGTAGAGGTTGTGTAATTCCCTGCCAACTTTGTGCAAATAAATCAGTATGAATTCTCAATAAAATGGTTGTATGAAGCAACCCACAACAACAAAAATTGGTTAGCTTACAGCTGTGCCACAGCACCTGCTAGTGGCTAAAGGGTGAAAATGCATGCATCTTTAGTTGAGATAGCTTTACTCTGTTGCAAACTCAACATTCAAATTGGCATTAAAGGGCCTACAGCGGCAATTTCCATGTGTATATTAGCAGCTGTAACTGTATCTCATGGTATCTGCTTGTGCCAGTTAGTTAATTCACCTTGTTAGCGAGGCCTGAAGTCCCTACAGGGAAGTTGAGGGGAATAATCTTTCCCAAGTCTCGTTTCCGAGTATGTTTATTTAAAGAATCGGTGGTTTTCACAGGGAAAGTTTTTGACAGTTAAAGAGGAGAGGAAAGGACTGTTTACCCAAGGACAAAATATGCAATTTCATTCCAGAATGCTCCCGTCTACCTTAGCTGAGGTTTCCCTCACGGTGCAAGCTATCCATAGCTTGAAATTTTCAAACTGGACTCTTGCCAGCGAGTTAATATTTAAAACTGCCTGAGGGGAGATTTCAAGCTTTTTTGACAGTTTCAGTAATGGAGAAACCATCCACTCGCAGGGTTACAGGGCGGCCTTGCTCATTTCCTGCAAAGATTCTTGCTTTCTCCAAAGAGCACTCATTCGCCAGAAGGAAATGAAGAGAAAAAGAGGAAAGGAACCTTGGAGGAACATAGGAATCGGGTAGCTTATTAAGACCCAACATGTTTGGAGCTAGGAGACTCTTCCTCGGGGGCACCTGAACCAATTTCTTCAGAGGAGCTAGGTAAAAAGTCTAACTCTAGCCTCTAACATGTACAGTGATGATCTCAGCTAATAATATAATAATGATTATTTATTATTTATACCCTGCCCATCTGGCTGGGTTTCCCCAACCACTCTGGGAGGCTCCCAGCAGAATATTAAAAACATGGTAAAATATCAAACATGAAAAACTTCCTTAAACAGAGCTGCCTTCAGATGTCTTCTAAAAGTCGGATTGTTGTTTACTTCCTTGACATCTGATGCGAGGGCATTCCACAGTGAGGGCACCACTACCGAGAAGGCCCTCTGCCTGGTTCCCTATAAGCTCACTTCTCGCAGAAAGTCCTTGGAGCTGGACCTCAGTGTCTGGGCTGAATGATGGGAATGGAGATGCTCCTTCAGGTATCCTAGGCTGAGGCCATTTAGGGCTTTAAAGGTCAGCGCCAACACTTTGAATTGTGCTCAGAAACGTACTGGGAGCCAATGTAGGTCTTTCAGGACCGGTGTTATATAGTCCCAGCAGCCACTCCCAGTCACCAGTCTAGCTGCCGCATTCTGGATTAGTTGTAGTTTCCGAGTCACCTTCAAAGGTAGCCCCACGTAGAGCGCATTGCAGTAGTCCAAGCGGGAGATAACTGGAGCATGTTATTGGACTACCACCCCCATCAGTCCAAGGCCACATGGCTCACTGCTGATAAGAGTTGTAGTCTACTAATATTTGGAGGGCACTATCCCTGCCCTATAAAGTGTTGGCTCCAGGTGTTGGAGAGACCTCGGTGTGATGTTCTCGGTGTCCCCCTCTCCATCGAATGGTCCATCTCCCTCAATCTTTCCACCACCCATTCACTTGCTTCTCTCTCTTGGCTCTATTAAGTAGGAACCAATGCGCCACCTCTCAGAGAGCAAAGTCAACGTGTACTGGGGTTGCTGCTCATTTTCCTCACTGCTCATTCACTCGCACCAGGTTGGTTAACAAGCAGCAGCGGCAAGAAAGAAAAGCCAATGTATAAGGAGGATCCCCAGAGATTGGTGGTGGGGCCTTCACTAGACAAGCAAATGGGCCAATCTATCCATTTCCAGTCTTAAATCCATTTCCAGTCTTAAATCTCACTTCAGTTTGAGATATTATTTTAAAACGTCCTCAGGAATATTCACCAGCATTTTAATTTCTCCCAGTGTGGTATCACATGGATATTTCAGTATCAGATTGGGAACTTTGTAAGGCAAAACATATTAAGGAATAAACAACTAGAAACCCAACAAGATTTTGAAATATATATATTATTATAAGACTGAGAAGAAAATGAAAAAGGATGACTATCCAGGCTGTATAAGCATTTAACAAAAGAGGACAAGGGGGACACAAATGGATTGAAAAGCATATGAGAAAAAGATTGGGGTATAAAAAGAATCAGTGGGAATGTATATGGGATAAATGTCCATATATGGCTATGGCAGCAAAGCTCAGGGAGACTTCCCTCAAATTTATTCAAAAATGGTATCTGATACCTTTAAGGTTGTCACAAATGTTTAAGAATAATGCCTACACTTTCAGGAGAGGATGTTGAGAATGAGATCTGAAATAAAAATTACACCTGTTTCTGTGCCATTTCCCCTGATATATACATTTCTGCAAAGCATTTTTGCATATTGTTTTCATTCATATATGCATTTCAATGCATGCTTTACCTTAGTATATGCATTTTGTACCTATTACTTGACTGAAGAACCACACTGCAGAGTTTAGAGACGTGGAGGTTTCGAAGGATATCTGTGTTTGGCTTCGTGTATTGTTTCCGAAAGTGTGAATCAGGCAAGTTTTCGTTTAAATACAAACTGAATTGGATTTATCTCCCATTCCTACACCAGAGTAAGGGCCTCAGTAGATGCCCAGCAATGCTAGTTGCCACAAACACAAACACATAGGCCATGTATGACTGTTTCTGACGAATGCATATATCCTAGTAAATTCATTCATTATTTGATGTGACCGGCCAACAAGAACTGTTAGACTGGTTTCTGTTAGACTGGTTTCATTCGGCGTCGTGCTGCAACTTTGCTTTCTCTCCGCATGAAGAAACGAGTTAGACGCCGAAGGATTAAAAAATCAAACTCAGTCCATCTCCCCCAATCCCATACTTCTCAAGGGTCTTCAAATAAGAGAGTGGAGCCGAAGTTAACCACATTCCTCTTCTCTACTTAACATTCCAAGAGTTTCAGGGCTTTTTAAAGAGCTCTTCTGGCATCTTTTGTTTATTATTTGTTCTGCCTTGACCTTTTCCAGTGTTTAGAAGGCAGGTCAGACCATGCTGGATGGTCCAACGTAGCAGCCTTCTTCAGATATTCCAAAAGCATGCCAGATCAGTTTGCACTGCAGGGCAAAATTGCTCTCCCTTCAGCTTGTATTGTGTGGTTTTACATGTATGCATGCTGAAGTATCCTGTATTTTTCAGGGTGCCTCTTAATAGCTTGCTAGGTTGCCAGTGCTTATGCTCTTTTCGTATATCATTTGGATTAAAGGTGGAGATAGTGGACGTGATCCTGTTTCCCTTGTAGCAGGAACCCCCCCCCCCCATCTCCAGTTTGTACAAACTTCACTCATACTTACACTCACACACTACATACGCTACACTTCTGTTATAAATTCATAGAAAATCAACCATACATCGGATTTGCACTGTTCCACTTTTATTTTACTCCATGAAGGAAGGACTACAAAATGGGGAATGTTTGATACAGGCCAGCCCAGCACATCCACAGGAGCCCTGCCCAGTTGCTATGCCAACCCTGATGGTCCTAGACAGAAGACAACCAAGATCACAAAGAACTTGCATATGGGAGTGGATTCAGCATGGACTGGAACAAAGGACAATGATCAGATCTTCCCTAAGGGGGCAGGAAACTGCGACTACCTTTTGTCTTCAGAAAATGACTCATGGGGAGGGGGAGAAGGGAACCAGCCAGGTGACAGGACACTCAGGTGACCACCACAACTCCTCCCTCAACCCCTCCTTTCTGTAATGTATGCATGATGTTTCTGGGGGTGGGCTTGACCTAGCCGATGGGAATTTCAAAAGTTTTTATAAGGTCTTGCACACCATTTTTCTGTGTCTTTCCTCTCTCCTGCAAGTGAGGGGAACACCCTGTTGCAACAGTTCAATAAAGGCCAAGCCTACAGGCTGCTGTTTTGCTCCAAGTTATCCTGGTTGGTGTCTTTGTTTTTGTCCAAGGGAGCCCTCGGATTTTTCCGGTAACACCCTTTCCATGTATTAACCCTACATGTCTTTTGAGGGTGTAAACAGGGCTGATGGCACACACGGCACATTCATTATGTAGCGTGCAATATATAATTTAGTGCATCTCCAGCTTGAACCTGCAGCTTGCTGAACTTTTTGCAACATTTTTTTCCACAGCAAAACACAGATTCCCCTTGCACAAAAACGTCTTTTTTATTATTTGGCTAGTACTGAGAGCCCTCTAGTGGCAGTCTTCCATTCTTGATCATTTTTAAAGGGGGTAGGAACTTGCTATATTTTTTCCATCCAGTGTTAGCCTCTTCGTTCAAAGGCACCAGTGCGCATTACAGCTTTATCGTCTCTCATTACATTTCAGTCTTGGGACCTTTTTTTTGCCAAATGAAAAGAAAAATACTTTTTCACTCAGACCTTTGTGGGAGTTTGGTAGAATCGAGTCCGAGTGTTAAATAATGTGTCCTTTTTATTCTGCATTTATGGTGGTTTGTGCTCATTATGGTATCAGAGCAGTTATATGGAGCCCCTCTTTCAATGCTGCTTCTGCCTACAAACGTTTCAGCTTGGACACACAGCTTTATTTCCAAACTGTGAATGTCCTGTAGCTTCCTGCTGAAATCCCATAACTTTTCATACCTCAGATGTTTAGGGAGCAAGAGAGTGTTTCTGCCTCTGTTGGGTGCCCCTCCAGACAGCAATAATGAGGTAACACTGGAAACTTGGTTCTTGAGAACATCAGTAGGAGGAGGTAAACACACTACCCAGCCTGCTCTGCAGCTGTCTGTACTCCTAGCTCCTGGGAACATAACCATTGGGGAAGCATTTCTAAGCAATAAAGCAATAAATGTTGTGTATACAGTGGTACCCCAGGTTACATACGCTTCAGGTTACATATGCTTCAGGTTACAGACTCTGCTAACCCAGAAATAGTGCTTCAGGTTAAGAACTTTGCTTCAGGATGAGAACAGAAATCGTATTCCAGCAGCATGGCGGCAGCAGGAGGCCCCATTAGCTAAAGTGGTGCTTCAGGTTAAGAACAGTTTCAGGTTAAGAACGGACCTCCGGAACGAATTGAGTACTTAACCTGAGGTACCACTGTACATTCCAGTATAAAACTGTTATGTATTGAAGTTCGCACCCTGGCCACCAGGGGTATTGTGTATATAGTTTTCACTCAGGTCCATGTAAATTAATTTAGGTGGGAAACCCTGGGTTGTAGTTGTTACAATGCTGACAGCCGGCTGCCTATAAAAGCAGGCGGGCTGAGCTGTTTGCAGTTCAGTTCAGTTCCAGCTTACTTACAAAGAACTACTTCTTGGAGAAATCTCTGTGTTGTCTGCTATGTCCACCCACTACTTAATAAAAACCACACTAATAATAATAATCCCTCCCCAGCCGAAGCCGGGCTCAGAGCGCCTAACAACAATAAAAGTAACACAGCATTCTAAAATCAATTCATTTTAAAATCAATTCAAAATCAAATTAATGGCAGCCATTGGGCTAGAGTTCTGTGTGGATTACCAAAGGAGGGGGTCAGACTGTGCCTTAGCCAAAGGCCTGGTGGAACAGCTATGTCTCGCAGGCCCTGCGGAAAGATGTCAAGTCCCGCAGGGCCCTAGTCTCTTGTGACAGAGCATTCCACCAGATCGGAGCCACAGCCGAAAAAGCCCTGGCTCTGGTTGAGGCCAGCCTAACCTCCCTGTGGCCCGGGACCTCCAAGATGTTTTTGTTTGAAGACCGTAAGGTCCTCCGTGGGACATACCAGGAGAGGCGGTCCCGTAGGTACGAGGGTCCTAGGCACTATTATTGTGTCAGTGACATATTGACACCCACAAAAACCAACCAGTCAAGAGGTGCTTTATACTGGTTTCAATTGTGACTTTTGCTGTTGTTGCTAGTGTTGTTTGTTGGACTATGGTTGTATTGTTTTGTCATTTTATGCTGTGACCTGACCCGGGATCATTAGCCAATGAAGGGTTGGTATCCATCTTGTCTCAAAAGACAATGGAGTGTGCCATTGGGGGTCAAACCACTGGAGAATCACAGCACCTGCAGTGGCTACAGAAACTTGTAACTCATAAAATGTGGTAGGTCAACCTGGCTGCATTTCGGGGTTCCTCCTGCTCCTTCTGCTGAGTGGGTCTCAGGACATCTGCCCTGAAGTCCTCCTCTAGCAGCACCACTGTGGAAAGTGAACAGCAAGAGCTGAGCTATGAGTGGCTGAGTTGTAACCTTGGTCCATCCTTGATGGTGGTTGTTATTTGATCGTCTCAGGCTGGACCATTGGCTGAATAAACCAATAGTGCAATGGCTATAATGCTCTGAAGCAGAAGCCGTATCTGTATTCTATTAATGCAGAACAGCTAAGGAAAACTTGGACCTCAAATTGGTGCTCAAAGGCAGCAATTAATTTTATGAAAAACATCCAAGGTGCTTTGACAGCAGGGCACTAAAACAAATTACATATTAAAATTCCATTTAAAAATGAATAGTAATAATAAAAAACCTGACCTTCATATAAAGAATGGAAAACTGGGTATTCTGCATTAAATAAAGGAATGATTTCTAGCACCACCTTAAGGCCCATGCCTTCACCTTTCAAGTATTTCCCTCCTGATGCACTACTACATCCATATTTCTTGACGAAATTGATTATCCGAATCCTTTCTCATCTGGTTGCAGCCTAGCCTTGCAGCTGAAACAGCCTTGGTCAACCCTGGTCAATGCTTACACAAGGAGAAAGATAGGGGGATGCATCATCCTGTATCTATCAGCAAATTTTGATAGCATCAGTGGCAAATATTCTGTGTCCAGGGCAGCTGTCTATGAGCTCCATCTGGTAGGCAGGCTGAGACCCTACCTGCCTGCAGACTGTCTTGCCAGAGTGGTGCATGCTCTATTTATCTCCCGCTTGGATTACTGCAACGTGCTTTACACAAGGCTACTTTTAAAAGTGACCCGGAAACTACAACTAATTCAGAATGCGGCAGCTAGACTGGTGACTGGGGGCAGCCGCCGAGACCATATAACACCGGTCCTGAAAGACCTACATTGGCTCCCAGTACGTTTCCGAGCACAATTCAAAGTGTTGGCGCTGACCTTTAAAGCCCTAAACGGCCTCGGTCCAGTATACCTGAAGGAGCGCCTCCACCCCCATCATTCAGCCCGGACACTGAGGTCCAGCTCCGAGGGCCTTCTGGCGGTTCCCTCACTCTGAGAAGTGAGGTTATAGGGAACCAGGCAGAGGGCCTTCTCAGTAGTGGCGCCCGCCCTGTGGAATGCCCTCCCACGAGATGTCAAGGAAATAAACAACTACCTGACTTTTAGAAGACATCTGAAGGCAGCCCGGTTTAGGGAAGTTTTTAATGTTCGATGTTTTATCGTGTTTTTAGTATTCTGATGGGAGCCGCCCAGAGTGGCTGGGGAAACCCAGCCAGATGGGTGGGGTATTAATTATTATTATTATTATTATTATTATTAATTAATTAATTAATTAATTATTGGAATCCACAAGTTTCAGTCTTATTTCCCACATTACTTAATATCTACATATTAAGATATTATTAAGACTATGCATATATTTTGGGTACTCTCAACGCTTTATCTCCTTACTATCCAATCCAAAGTAGGCAGTAAAGGTTCCATAATGATGATTGGGGCCAGTGAAAGGCCAGATGTGGGCACACAAAGTGAGTCTTAATCCAGATGTGGTAGGTGTACTGTTGGTGTACAGGTGAGCCGATTGATCTAGGTTTACCATTTGCAAAGTGCCATCATTCAACTACTTTGGGTGGTGCTCTTGGACTTGGCGCTTTTCCTAGATAAGGGGTAGAAAACCTGTGATTCCAGATGTTGTTGGACTCCAACTTCCATCAGTAAAGGTAAAGGTACCCCTGCCCGTACGGGCCAGTCGTGTCCGACTCTAGGGTTGCGCGCTCATCTTGCTCTAGAGGCCGTGAGCCGGCACCATCCGAAGACACTTCCGGGTCACGTGGCCAGCGTGACAAAGCTGCAGCTGGCGAGCCAGCACCAGCGCAGCACACGGAAACGCCGTTTACCTTCCCGCTATAAAGCGGTCCCTATTTATCTACTTGCACTTAAAAGTGTTTTCGAACTGCTAGGTGGGCAGGAGCTGGGACCGAACAACGGGAGCTCACCCCGTCGCAGGGATTCGAACCGCCAACCATACGTTCGGCAAGTCCTAGGCACTTAGATTTTACCCACAGTGCCACCCGCGTCCCACCATCAGTACCATCCAGCAAATCCAATAGTCAGAGATGATGAGAGCTGTAGGCCAACAACATCTGGCAGGCCATAGGTTTCCCACTTATATCCTAGAGCAGGGTTTTCCTGACAACTGATCTTGCTAGCTAGGGATGATGGGAGTTGTAGTCCAAAAACAGCCCAATTTGTTTCCCAGCCTAGTTTAAAGAGCTGGTGCTTCATTTTTCCCATCCTCGATGGAGTAGGTCCCATGCTGGAGAGGACTTTTCCCACAAGTGCGTTCAGGCTTTATGTTCCAGCAGAATCTAAGGAAAATCACTTGCAAAATGCTAGGCAAAATTGTGTACAAAAATATGTCTATTGGGAGTAAATGTGTATATTGAAAACGTGTATGGATTTCATGCAAACTATTTTCTTTTACTTTTTACAATAATGAAAACTTACTTGGAAATTGGTTGAACCAAACCTAAGTCTGAAAAAAATTACAACCTAAGAGAAATCCAAATTGACAGATTTGTTCATCTATACAAGACACGTTGGTTTTGCACTGCGTGGGGCTGAAGAAACAATAATGTATTTGAAGGTAGTATTTGTCCCAGAGTTCTCTCTATTGACAATCAGTTGTCCAAAGCCTGTATGTAGCACAGTCCTTGGTCTCTCTTCGCACAGCCTAATTTCAGTCGCTTGATGGAGTACAAAACAAGTAAGATTTATTCTTTAG